AGTTTACAGCCGACGAAGTGCAGACAGCGTTTCTGTTTTATATGAAAACATCTGTTCAATATCTTTATTTAAAAAATATATAACGTGTATGACCCTAAGAAACATATACATGTGGCACTAAACTAGCATGTGAGTCTGTTCACAACCCGTCTGACTGGTCGGTTCAGTGCGGCGCAGACTCACTGTTAATCAGCAGACTGGACGTCAGCCAGTAAACTGTTGTTTCAGCTTCGTTTCCACGGTGACATGTGAAATGCCGCAGGGTCAGAGGTCAGAGGTCGCTGGTTTGTGGGTATTTGGCAGCTATGCAGTAAAATGTGAGAAAAGAAACACACACTTCTACACTGTAACACACACACACACAGAGGTATTCACATGCACATTCACACTTGTAAACAAAGCAACTAGCCCCCCCCCCCCCCCCCCCCCCCCCCCCCCCCCCACACACACACACACACACTCTTTCACATTCATTCAGGGGTAATTAAATGTGTGTGTGTCAGCAGGGAGCGGAGCAGCGAACACTTCAGATGAACAACTGGACAAAAGCAACAACGTCAAACATTTGCTGCTCTCAGCCTCCGGCCTGAAGCTTCGTCCACACTGATACACTTTAAAACTCACAGCTGTTACTACGTCCACGCCCCACGTCCACACTGCTCCGCCGGATACAAACCTTTAAAACAGAGCTCGTTCAAAATGCTGTTTTAGCTTGAAATCTTCGGGGTTGTGCTCTGAAACCTACGTTCACTTCCTGTTTGAGTCCTCTTAGTCCCAGCGCGTCAAATCAAAACTTTACAGCAGTGATTTCATCTTTCTTGTCTGGGTAACGTCACTCTCTCACATCGCAGTGACTTCCTCCTGCGATGGATAGCGCTCTGTTCTGATAGGTCGGTGTATTTGCTTTGTAAAGACAGCCCCGACTTTCTTACACTCGTGTTTTACTTTCAGTAACAGTTCCACCTCTTCGACAGTCCGACCAGAGAAACCTCTGCTTTTACTTTAAACCATCTTCTTAATATTTTCTGTATGCGATTTTCTATGCAACCTAGCGCGGACTAGGTATTTTTATTTGTCAGATAGATATTCAATACAGCACCGTCTGATCAACCCGTGTCAATTTCAGGCTTAAAATAACAACTTCCAGTTTAACACCACCCATTTCCATCTTAAACTCTGCCCATTCAAAGTACAAATATAGATAGAGATAGTCGTGTACTTGTTCATCTCTAGTCTATATTCTTCAGGTCTGACCGGTGAAAGGATGCAGCTCCTGTGATTTCAATACAACACTTATCTATATTGTGATTTAAATAATATTTCAATTAACGTGCAGCCCTCGTTGAGACACGCTGCAGGGGAGGTATTTCAGGTTCAAAGTTCAATTTATTCTTCCAGGAAATTGCGGCACTCCCGTTCTTATCAAACATCGCTGATATCAAAAGGCGAGATTAGAAATAGCTGCGAAATAAAGCCAGACATTTAAATACCAGAAAAATGTATTTCACACACGAAAGAAGGCAGAATAATATGTAAAGTTTATGTCGTGCTCATGAACTTTGTGTTCGGTCTACCTTGACATATTTCTTTATTAGGCTGTTTTTTAATTTAAAATTTTCAGTCAGAGGTCATGTTCAGCTGCTTGTGTGGAGAAGACATTTAACATTCCTTTAGTTAAACGACAGAAAGGTTTTACAGTCGATGACTCATCTAACTATGATCCACTGTGTGTGGACGACCAGACGAGGTGCTGTGATGTGTGAGGGGTCACAACGTTATTATGATGTTTTGTGTTGGTTTTTGTGGAGCTGAAGGAAGAGCTCAGGCTGTTGATTCATTTCATGTCAGCCACTGAATGTGTACAAGACCTGACTTCTCTGTGGCGCTGTAGGAGACTTAACAGGCTCAGAGAATACAAGCCTTTACTCCCACACACACACACACACACACACGGTTAACTCTGTGTATCGGCGTTGCAGTGGTCAGAGGATGAGGAGGATGAGGAGATGACACTGAGACTTCCTGCTTCCTGCTCAGCATGCTGGTCCATGTTGGAGTGTGTGTTGGTTTGTGTGTGTGTGTGTTTTTGTTCAAATCAAGGACGTGAGGAGAAAAAAAAAAAGCGCTCTCCAGATTAACCTCGTAGACCCGCAGCCGAGAAACTCCTACAGCACCAAATACAGAGTGTGTGTCTGAGATGAATTACTGCCAAGAGAAAGAGACGGAGAGGAGAAAGGAGAGGAAGAAAGAGTTTCTATCAGGCTCAAATATAACACCGTGATCACCAGGCGTCAGGTGAAGAGTCAAGCAGGATTTATTCTTCGGCGTTGAATCAGTATAGGCTCTGCGTAGACACATACCCTACACTGTAGCCTGACTTCACGTCACTTTTATTAACTTTTATTTCACAGATTAGAAAACATGAATTGTGAAGACAGTAAACCCTCCACAAAAAAGCATTTTAAACCCTGTATGTGATTTATATGGGTAGAGGAAAATGTTAGCCATGTTAGGCGAATTTATACAATGTAAAATAGGCTTTAGTATGAGACAGTTGTTTTGGCAGTGAACCTTGTGAGTTGTAATGGAGTTAAATTTGTAACGTTACCTTTGTTAAATGTTGCTGTTGTCCCTGGCTTCATATTAGTAGAGAGAAGTCCGCTAGACGCTAGGCTAATTTATACAATGTAAAATGCCATAGACTTGTGCTAATAACATTAGCATGTTGTATTTGTGGGGAAAATGTGTCCAGATAAAGACAAGTGTTTGTCTGTGAATGCTGCGAGCTATAGTGAAGCTGATTTTGCGTATTTGTGTTTGAAATTGACACTATTTAGCCGTGTTTAATGTGTGTTTAATGTGTGTTTAATCAATCTAATAGCGTTCTGGAGATTTGTTTGTTTAGCTTTGCATTGCAGTAGCTGTTCTTCCCGAGGGGTCTGCACAGTTACATGGTGACAGATTCACACTGCACAACACAATACACTAAATAGTACATCAGAATGTAAAATGCAACTTATGTAACAGAGAAAATAAACCGTCTCCAACTGGATCCATCTTAATCCAACAGATCAACATCGTCATTTAAGAAACAATAAAATGCAAATATCTTAAAATAAAATTAGGCCATTACTTTCAAGTTATCTTAAACTTTGTAAAGAGAGTAAGAGTTTCTCTATCACTGTGATCACCAGCCGTCAGTGTGAGTCTTGCAGTAAAGCATTGAGGCGTCATCGACATGTTCACTCACAGCTATGTGTCGTCTTAAATCCATTCAGATGTTTTATGACGTTAATTCTGTTTGTAACAGACTTGATTTTATCTTTTATTCCAACTGACATTTATAAGCTCTGAAAGAGTCTTTATTCAGACAATCAAGGATGCGTACCCACCTTTAGATACAATGACCCCAAATGTGGTAAAATACAAGTAATGATAGTGTTTTTAATTTAGCATCTTAGATTAAACTTAGTAGGCGTGCTGCTGCTCTGGTGGGAAACGTAAGATTCAGATGTTTTTTTTTTAATCAAAAGAAAGTGCTTCAGGGGCGACGTCGAGCTCACCTGGTGGAGTGAGCGCCCTATGTAGGCTGAGTCCTTTGTAACTGCCTGGGTTCGATTGTGATTGGTGGCCCTTTGTTGCGTGTCATCCCCCCGTATCATCCAACATTTCCTGTCAATCTATAGCTGTCAAAGAAAAATCAAAGTTCTTCAGTACAGTTTGACGCCATTTGACGTTAGCTTGATGCAGAACCGTCTGATGCCGCCTCCTGAGAAGCACAGGGAGATTTGAATCAGCTCTCATTCACATATCTGCAGTCAAACCACCTGACCTTTGAGTAGCAGACTGACAACGAAGTCTGGAACAGTCAAGCAGATCAGCCAGTCAGCTGGCTGATTGTTTTTACTGGCCCGACCTCACCTTTTATTCCTGGTGTGTGTTCAGGAGCTGAGCCCCGCCCTCAGTGAAACATGATACAGAAACAATAGAAGCTGCGTGCCCCTAAATGACACCAAAACACTTTATTTCCTGTTCATGTGGCTGTTCATACACTCTGAAAAAAGTGCCTTTTATATATAGGGGAAACCCAGACTTTCATAAATTGTGTCTGCAGATTCAGACACTTTGTTAATCCCACCAGGGGCAGTTTGTTTGAACAGCTTGTCTTACACACATATTATAACACACTGTAACATGTAGACAAATAAATAGATGAGTAATAGATAAAAATCAAAGATCAAAAAAATATGTCGAGGAGTTTAGTGGGATAAAGGAATCTATAAATAATTTAAAATCTAATAGAATGATATAAATAAATTTGATAGAAAAAGATATCAAAAGTTAAAAATGAAAGGGATTAAAAAACAATAAAAAAATAAATAAAACATATTTATATTTAAATAATTTCTCTCAGAGGAGGACACACCGACGACAGGATGTTAAAAATATATTTATTATTTTATTCTAGCATCCGTCAGCCAAATGTCATTGTTTCTTTTAAGTGTTTTCTCGCCTTTTTTATTAGTTTTCAGTTGTTGATGTGAAGTGCTGACGACAGACTCACCTGTATTTAAAATCCTGTGAACATGTTAACATATTTATTTATTTCTGTTTGGCATAAAAACGTCTCTGAGAGTCGAAGGCGTCCAGTTCCTTCTCGCTGCTCCTCCTCAGTATTTTGTGTCGCCTGCAGCGCGGTCAGTTTGTCTTCCTGTCAGTGTTGGACTGGCAGCAGGAGGAAGTCATCACTCTGTGCTGCTCAGCTGCTCCCTGGACCCTGCAGCCGGCCACCACACCAGGCCTGAAACTTCGCCACCCTCAGGTCTCGCAAATAACTGTTTGGGACACATTTAGTGGCCCACGGAGACGAATTCGACAATCTGTTCCTGAGCGGCGTTGACATAAATCTGAGGGAGGAGCAGCTCTTCCTCTTATTTTGTCTGTGTGGACAATGAGTGACGGCGCTCTCCCTAATCTGTTTTGTCTGTCTTCTCTTTCAGAGCAGTGCTGTCGGTCGGAGACATGGCGGCACTGAGGTGGGAGGTTCTGCTGTTCCTGGTGGTCGTCCTGCTGGTCTCCTGCAGTGCCGCGTCCACCGACATCCTGTATCGGGTTCCTGAGGAGCAGCCGCCCAACACACTGATTGGCAGCCTGGCGGCGGACCAGGGCCTGCCCGACACCGGCCACCTCTACAAGCTGGAGGTGGGCTCTCCGTACCTGCGGGTGGACGGCAAGACCGGCGACATCTACACCACTGAGATCCCCATTGACCGCGAGACGCTGAGGGACTGCCGCAACCTGTTCGAGGGCGACAAATGCTTCCTGGAGTTCGAGGTGTCAATCACCGACATGGTGAAAGGGATCGGCTCGGGGCCGCGGCTGATAGAGGGCCGCATCGAGGTGATGGACATCAACGACAACACGCCACAGTTCTCCTCGCCCATCCTCACCCTGTCCATCCCTGAGAACACGCACATCGGCGCCCTCTTCTCCATCCCCATGGCCACCGACAGGGACTCTGGCACCAATGGTGTGGCCGAGTACTCGCTGAGCACTGGGCCTGACGCTGACCAGCTCTTCAGCCTGCAGGTCGCAGTGGACTCTGACGAGAAGCTGCCTCAGCTGGTCGTCATGGGCAACCTGGATCGTGAGAAGAAGGACTCGTATGACCTGAACATCCGGGTGGTGGACGGAGGGAAGCCGGCAAGAGCGAGCAGTGCGCTGCTGCGGGTCACCGTCACCGACCAGAACGACAACTCGCCAAAGTTTGAGCGGAGTCACTACGAGGCCGAACTGCCGGAGAACAGCCCGCAGGGACACTCTGTGCTGCAGGTCAGTTACTGAACACTAAAACACACTGCATGTACATATACACAACAAATACACACCATGTTTTCTATCATTTCTGTCAGTCCGTCATAGCAGCGTTTGTTTCTAATTTTTTGATACATTAATTGTCAAGAAACTAATCAATAACAATGAAGACAAAGGATACAGTCAGTTATCAGGCCTAAATGCCAAAAATTGTCTGGTTCCAGCCTCTTAATGTCAGATTTCCTCTGTACTTTTGGTTTGAAATCATTTTGAATTGAATAGTTTGGGGTTTTTTCGGGTTCTGTTCTGGTTCCTGCGGCTTAATGTCAGGGTCCCCAGATTCAGGGAAAACCTAGAAAAGTCATGGGATTTTGTTGTGTATAATGAAATTGTTAAGTTGCTAATCTGTAATGTAATCACGTATTGTAATGGCAAATATATCTTCTGTAGCTGTTGACGTAGTGTTGCTCTAATATGCGTTGATGTTTCGCCATATTCTCCCCGGGCTCGTCGCTCCATTCCTGATCAGCTACCTGAAATTACGTTTGAATAGAGTTTGAATACGATATGTTGATATTCGCAGGGCAAATGGGGCGAGAAAAAAACCTTCATTATGAGTCCTTCAACTTCAATTCAATCCATTTATATTTATAAAGCCCGATATCACAAATCACAATTTGCCTCAGAGGCTTTACAGCATACAGGAAAAACTCCCCAAAAAAACCTTTAACGGGGAAACAAATGGTAGAAATCTCAGGAAGAGCAACTGAGGAGGGATCCTTGAAAAGTCGTGGAAAAGTTTGCTAATTTTGTCCATAAAAATGTGTGGGAACCCTGGAATTTTGAATTGTTCGGAGCATTTTGACCAAAAATGAATTGGTTCAGAGCCCAAAAACTTTCAAGCTGAAAGCACCAAATAGCAGGTTTTCTGTGTACAGTGACATCATCAGTGGGCGTGGTATATTCTACAGAGCTAATTTGGTGGTAGAGGAGTGTCTTATTCCGGCACCTTCTGATGGGACAATTTATCTGATATTTTATAAACTAAATTATTGATCACTTAAACAAAGAAATGATCGATGATGGAAACAGTCACAGCCTTAAATCTGAACCACTGAGTTTGGAATAAACACAGAGGTGATCAGAGTTTTGTTTAAATGCTTGCATGCTGTGTTACAGCTCAGCGCCAGGTTCAGGTTGGGTTTCTCTTCCAGATCAGCGGTTTGGATAATTTAATTAAACTGGACCTGTGATGTCAGACTTTATACAAGAAAGGAATGACCGACATAACAACTGACTACAAACCAGGGTGTAAAAGAAGGGTTTTCATTTATGGGGTGTGGTGTAAATAAATCAGTTTACTCCCTCAAAGAGGATTGATGTGAATGTTTAAGGCCTTAAAACACCTTAAGGAAAGTTTAAGGGGGAAAAAATCTTCCCTTGTCAGACTGTTGTGTTTCAGGTGCAGATTAAAGTTCTTATCAGGATTTAGTAACTGAGTAAATCCTCCACATACATTAGCCTCTGTTCTTGAGTGAAGCTCAGTCCTTCGTCATGTCAGAGCGCTGCTGCTGCTCCTCCAGAGCTTTTCTGGTGCACCGAACCTGACGGAGGAACCTTTTGTCCCTGTTGGTGCTGCAGGACAACACGGAGCAGTGACTGCACATAATACGCTGCTCAATTATCCGTACAGACAGATGGTGCGTTGGAGGTGAAGCAGGGCGTGGGATCGCCGTGTGTAGTCACATATTAACACTGATTCAACTTCACCTTTGAGCCTCTGCAGTGGGGGGGGAGGGGGGGGGGTACGTGATGTCAGTGTCAGAACAAACAACAAACCCACCCCACTGTATCCTCCTCCTCCTCCTCCTCCTCCTCGTCCTCGTCCTTGTCCTCTTCACTTCCCTTCACTCGCTGACTGCGGCGCGACCAGCCAGCCTTCCAGTGAGCCGTGCATGACTTAATCTGAGTCAGTCATGAGATTATCCACGGGGCTTATTGGTATTATTGCTCTGGATGTGGCTCATTGCATTTCAGAGAGCCGCAGAATACATTTCACTTAACGTGAGTTTGAGGAGTGATGCTTTAGAGGCAGCGGGACAGCGCTGACTGACGACCCTGACCTGCTTAAATCGTCCAATGGCGGCGCAGACTTGTAGATCTGTGCCTTTTGACTCGCTCTTTAAAGGAGCATGCCGCTGCGTTTTACATATTTTAACCTGCTTTCTGTCCAAAAAAAGCCACCAGAGTTCACATGGAGTCACTTTAGCTCACAATAAACATCATCAGAGCCTGAAAGTTTATTTATGTATTGATTTATTTGAAAGGGACAATACTTTTACATTTAATTAAAATGCAAACAGTAGATATACGCAGGACTTTTCAGCTGAGGCTGATCTACAGACGTCCCTGGTTTGATGTTTGAGGACATAATGCAACGCTCTCATACGGAAATAGAGACAAACAATAGAACAAACACAGACAAATGAACACCACACACCAATCGAAATCACGATGACTAATAAAAAATTATGAAGGAGAAATCATGCGAGCTACAAACTTGACTTTGGTTATTATAAGAAAATCCTACGGTCTTGGTTTTTCTGCAACTCACAGCTTTGATTGTTGCTCATTGCAGTCATGATTATTTAATTTGACCAGCTCTGTCTCCAGAGCTTTCAACCACATCTTACTGTCTTCCTCATCAATGTAAGGCCCAGTGGTTCCCATCTGGTCCAGCTGCAGGGTCCAGATTTCTTCTTAGTTATTAGTTCAAAATTCAAAGTCCACACAGTTTAATACACCCAGCGTCATACTTGCTTTGGCCATGTCAATGAAATAGTTTACTGTCTCTGTTAAGTACCTGTCCTTTAGTCACTCACTTTACAACAGGAAATGCACTTCAAAATGAAAGCTCTGTGCCAGAAATTCACTGTACTTCAGAATTAAGTGTGTCTTCTACAAACCTGACCAGTTTGCGAGTCACTTGTGGCCCATTCTGAATGGACCTGCGACCAAACAGTTGAGAAGTCCACACAGACATATTTTTTAAAACCAAAATTGGCCTACTGTCCTTGTCCCAGTGTACAAGCACGGGAGGGGAATCCATTTATTGAGCCAAGTATGTGCGACTCCTCTACGATAGGTGGAGATATGCCCCCTTTCAGCTTGTTAGTATTGGACCTTTTTCCTGTTGGCCTATTACGTCACAGACCAAACAATGGACAAACAAGTTAGCTACAGTTAGCTAGCAGCTAACTGGTACCATGGTGGACAACTTTACAGCTCTGTACATTTGGTCCGTCCAAAAAGTCACGGCTCTGGATGTAGATTTCTCCATGTTGTTACCGGCTTCTTCTTCTCTTACACATTTAATGCTATTGGACTTCCGGGTCAAAGCCCGGGGCGAAAACTGTGGAGCATGCTCAGAGCACGAACAGAGTCAACGCTGAAAAATTTCTGAATGAGTTTGAGTGTTTTCTGTGACTTACATCACAGTTTGCGTGTGGACAAAAGGCCAAAATATTACCTGTGGACCTGTGTGTGGACAGGACCTTCAATTTCAGCAAATCATCCGCAAAGTATTGTGGGTACTTGATACCAGCTGCGGATACACACATGCATCCTTGAAAATCCTCTGAAAGAAGGTCTCAATCCTCGGTAGAATTTGAAGAACAAACATTGGAACAGTCCTTAGGTGGGATTTGATGATGTAGCATCCTTGAAATTCAGCCTTGACTTAGAGAAACACCCACAGTTTTGAGGAAACATGTTGTCCAAGCTGGAAACCGTAGCAAAACAGTGCACACCATATTGAGAGTGAACGTACCCCTGATGAAGAGAACAACACCCCAAACTGTTTGTACTCTGTCTGACTTATATTGATTCATCAGAGGAAGAAGCTCAGTGAGAAATAAAGTTTTCAGGGACTTCTATCGACCGATAATCACACAATTTCTTTGACTGATTAATTAGATGATTGTAAAAACCTGTCACACTGCTCCTCCAGTATTATCATTATTCTCTTTACACATGAAGGAGCTCTGTAAATCCAGACCTTATTAGAGACCAAAGAATCATTGAGAATATTGACAGAGTCATTTTCTGTAATGACTAACAGCCAAAAGAAGATGGTAAAAAACATTAAATATTACTTCAACACCCAGCTGATTAATCCATTAAACACAGGCAGCCCCAAACTCTGAGCCACCATGTGATTATAATGTGTTTCCACCATCAGTAGAGCAGACAGGAAGTAGAAACTGTGATGGATAAATTGACTCTAACAGCCTCTTTAGAGGACGGTGAGCCGTGTGGAGATTTGTGGCCTGATTTTATGAATATTGATGAGAAATGAGAGGTTTTAGTGTCAGAAAACCTGCAGAGAGTCTGGCCCTCATGTCAGAAACCAGTAGGTCTTGCTGGTTAATGGTTAACTGGGAGATAAACAGGGTTTATTTGCGTGGACAGAGCGGCCTTGGAGGGCAGCCAGCTTGGCTCTGGCCTCATCACAGCAGCTCAACTGTTCAATACACAATTCTCAGAAGCTGTCAATAATTCACCGCTGTTTGGTGATGTCTGCTGCTTAAAGCCACACCGGAGGAAAGGAAATCAATGGGCAGGAGAAATTATAATTTCACTTTCATGCTTTCTTTAACCTTAACCTCTCCGACTTGAGTCAGTGACTTCCACGGTCACCCCCGGGCGCCGGTGACGGTCTGTCACAGTCTGTGATCCTGAGCGAGCAGGAAACCAGATATTTATTATGTGGCAGTGTGAACTCCAGACTGTGTTAAAAAGAAAACCCCTCAGAGACTCTGTCAGCTGCTTTAACCTTTTAAACCATGATCTCCTCCTTAAATCTTTAATTAAATGTTCATTGGAGATTTTTCCCACATTGATAATGTCATGTATTGTGTCGCAGCGTCCTGCAGCGCTTCATTAAAGCTTCATGCTGTTTACAATATTACCGACACTCGCGCTGTGCTTTTGTGGCTGCAGCCGCCAATCAAACAGAAATAATACAGATTTATTTCTCCATTTAATTTCCCCAAATTTCAGCTTGACATTGACAAAGCTAACAAAATCAAGACAATGGTTCAGTTTGTGTTAAAAGCACCAAATTTGGTACAAATATAGTTTAATACATGTAGAAGACATCTGGGTATCGGGGCGTCGCTGATTGGCATTCTGATGACCATGGTGGCAAAATCCAATATGGCCACCACCTGAAAAACGAACCAGCTACAAATATAAACTTGGTGTCTATTTTATGTTTGACCATTAGAAACATATTGGACATATTTTTTTGATAGGATGTATCAGGACCCCTAATTCGCATATTTTCAAGATGGCAGCCAACTAAAACAAGATAAAATAAATCAATTTTTAATCTCTTCAGGAAAACTTGGTGTCAGTTTGACATGTTTAAGCATTAGAAACACACTGGAATACTCAGATTTATGATTTATACAACATTTTGGGAATAAAAAAGATACACATAAATAAATAAAAACATTGAGGTTTTGGTCAGTTTCCATTAGATTCCTCGTCAAAACAGCTCTCTATTATCTCAGGGACTATATTACTTTACTTTCACTGTCTCAAAGTTGCACTTTGACCAACAAGATCCCAAATGAAGAGAAACGAAATTAATTAATTAAATTAAATGACAGTGGAAGTACACCTGTACTTGTGACTTGTTATATTGTTCACAAACAGGAAAATATAAAAACATTTCCAGCGTTCACTCCTATGAAAGTTGCTCAGTGGTGCATGAAGCCAGAAATGGCCCACTGCTGTGTATAAATTGCCCTGATCATCGGCACACCTTCAGGCGCGCTAGAGACTTCCACCGGCCAAGTTAGCTACTTCCATTTTAGTGCTCTGCTAACATGAGCAGGGGGAAATATTAATTGTGCAGCTCTTCTTGACTTTCCAATTGGTATCGGACTGAATGGATACAACCCTGATAGTGAAACGAGCCATTTTACCAGGTTGGGGTTGCTAAAAAAAACAAACGGAGCCACTAGTTTAAAGGCGCCTCTTTTCTAGTTTAAATCTATGGGAAAAAGTTTTTTGGGGTCAATGGCATCATGGGACGAACCCGAGAGTTGTAGAGTTTGGCCACTGCGAATATTGGCTTCAAAGCCCAGTGGACTCTTGGGGGGCCTGGTTTACAGTCTGTGTGCTAAACTAAGCTAACCAGCTTCTGGCTGCAGCTTAACATTTATGCTAGATTTCCATTCACCTTGGAGGTTGGAGGTTAGAGCTGGGAATGATCTTAGTTGGCCACATTCCAGTACAACAAGTGGAAAAACCAAGATGTTGTTAACAATACCAGTGAATAACAACATATGCTGTATTTTGTGCACACAAACACTGTAGCAACACGTCCACAGATAGAAGCTGGACAGTACTGAGTGTACGACTGATTTAATGAGACGAAAGTGCTACTAAACAGTAAATCACCACAGCTGTCACCACTGTTGATGCACGGATCAGCCATCTAGGAATCTGGGGTCAGGGCTGGTGAAGTTTCTCTGACTTTCAGAGTTAGAGATTCGACTTTAGGAAGTGTTCCAGTTAAAATTTCCAATTGGGAGCTCTGAGTGCAAATGTGACGCATCATTATTCTGCAAATATCAGAGTGGTATCAATCTTCTTCTTTAACTTTTGCCAAGAAAGTTATCGAGTGCTTTTCCCAAAATGTCAAACTATACCTTTAAAAAACCGCTGGCACCTCGGGTAGAATTTAAAAAGGATGTTGTGTCCTTGACCAAAACAACTGGAGTTTTATTGTTTGTTTAAAAACCATCCTCACTTCAGGAAGATTTCCTTTCCCTTGTATTTTTAAAGAAACCAATATTTTCAGGAGTTACATTTTTAGGAGATTATTTAGTGCTGGCTTGGCTCAGATCCCAGTTGTGCTTTAAAGGAATAATGGCCTTAAAGTTTAAAAAGCCTAATTACATTAGTGTAAGTCCCGTGTGAAGCCTGTAGAAAACGCTGAAGCAGCAGCACCTGGGACATTTAAATCAGCTGTTCAACAACTAGTTCATTTAAAGCTACACGGCGACCTACATTTCTCCACAGCAGCCGTGGCATTGAATGAATGCAATTAAAAAGTATTAGATGTGTAGATAGAAATGCATCCTAACGAGTCCATCCTAAGTGATACCCTGCTGACTGATCGCACCTCCTAATTGACTAATTACCTTCATTTACTTTGGGTTTGGGCGTTCGAAGGCGGCTCGTGTCCGATGGCGGTCCGTCCTCTCCAGCCTCGTAATGGGCCCCTAGGAGCCGGGGCTTTTCTGATAATGAGAGGAACATTAACATTCACTCATCTGCCCATTAGACGCCAATGACCCGCTGCACGGCCGTTAGATGTTGTTGTGTGGGTGTGTGCGCTCAGCTTTGATGATCTATTATGTTTCAGCAGAAAAACTCCTCCCCCGTCAGGAAAACACAAAGGCCTCTGTAGTGCTGCATTAGTGACGGCTGTGACTCTGTAAGTTACAGAGGATAAATAATCATTCAGATAAAACTGAGGTGAGAATAAGGACATATAATGGGAATATGATGCGTTCAGGTGACCTCAGACAGATCAATTCACATACCTAACAATGACCTCCTCACCGAACTCTGATCAATCAGATTATTGCACGACCTTTTTGGGTTCTTATAGACCAATTCTTAGTACGAGACAGTTGTTTTGTCAGTGAACCTTGTGAGTTGTAATGGAGCCAAATTTGGAAACATTTCCTTTGTTAAATGTTGCTGTTGTCCCTGGCTTCATATTGTGGAGGATCTGCTAGCGGCTAGGCTAATTTATACCATGTAAAATGCCCCAGGCTTGTGCTAAAAACATTAGCATGTTGTATTTGTAGGGAAAATGGGTCCAGATAAAGACAAGTGTTTTTTTGGCTCCGCCCACAAAATATGTCATCACTGTTTACAAACACAAAAAGAGTTTAATGGATGCTTTAAGAAGGTAAACGTCTTCTTTTTGTCCTCATAGGTCAGAGCCAACGACGCGGACACCGGCTCCAATGGGGAGATCGACTACAGCCTCCATCAGGTGACGGAGGCCGTCCAGAGGCTTCTGCGCATCGACCGCTCTACTGGCATCATCTACGTTAAGGGCCTGGTGGACCGCGAGGAGGAGAGCTTTCTCAAGTTCTTTGTGGTCGCCAAAGATCGTGGGCCCAACTCCAAGAGCACCAAGGTCCTGGTGAACATCAGCGTCAAGGATGTGAACGACAACGCACCCGCCATCGAGATCCGTGGTATCGGCTTGGTGACACACCAGGATGGCGTGGCCAACATTTCTGAGGACATGCCCATCGGCACGCCGGTGGCATTGGTCCAGGTGTCGGACCGTGACGAGGGGGAAAACGCGGTGGTGACTTGTGTGGTTGCCGGCGACGTCCCGTTTCAGCTCCGACCTGCGAGTGAGTCGGCCAACGACCGGAAGAGGAAGTACTTCCTGCAGACAACGACCCTGCTGGATTATGAGCGTGTGAAGGATTACAGGATTGAAATCGTCGCAGTGGATTCTGGGAACCCGGCCCTGTCCAGCACCAACTCCCTCAGAGTGCAGGTCACGGACATGAACGACAACACGCCAGTCTTTTCACCTGCCATGCTTGAGGTGGACTTTCCAGAGGGCAATCAGCCGGGTGACAGGGTGTTGGACATCACTGCGACAGACGCTGACAGCGGCACCAACGCAGAGCTGGTCTACAGCATCATCGAGCTGTCGGCCACCAGGCTATTTGAAATTGATGCCGACACCGGAGAAATTCGAGTGAAGAACCTGCTGGATCGGGAAGAGACGGAGCGTTACGAGTTCCGCGTGGCGGCGGCAGATAAGGGTGTTCCCAGCAAAACTGGCACCGCTACATTGGTGATTAATGTTCTGGACCGCAATGACAACGATCCCAAGTTTATGCTGAGCAGCTACAGCTTCTCCGTCATCGAGAACATGCCTCCACTCAATCCCGTTGGCGTGGTGACTGTCACTGATGCTGATAAGGGTGAGAACGCCCGCGTGAAGCTGTATGTGGAACAGGACAACAGCAAGTTTGTCATCCAGAACGGCACCGGCACCATCCTGTCCAGCATCTCCTTCGACCGTGAGAAGGAGAGCACCTACACCTTCCGCCTGAAGGCCGTGGACGCTGGTGACCCACCTCGATCGTCCTACGTGGGTGTGACCATCAACGTCCTGGACGAGAACGATAACGCCCCCTACGTCACCAAACCGGCAAACTCCTCCTACACGTACATGTCCCCCGTCACCCCGCCAGACACCAGCGTTGAGGTGGTGGAGGCTGAGGACATTGACTCTGGACCCAACGCTGAGCTGGTCTACACCATCACAGGTGGCAACCCGTACGGCCTGTTCCACATCTCGCCAAACAGCGGGGAGATCACGCTGGTGCAGGAGTTCACCGGCAAGCACAACGGGCTGCACCGCCTGGTGGTGAGGGTCAGCGATAAAGGCAAACCTCCCCGCCACACCACCGCCCTGGTCCACGTCTTTGTCAACGATACCAAGTCTAACGTCTCCCTCATCGAGGCGCTGGTCGGGCACAGCCTCTACACCCCTCTGGACAGGGACATTGCCGGAGATCCCAACTACGCCCTCGCACAGCGCAGCAACATCCTGTACGGCAGCCTGGCGGGGGTCGCAGGCGTGATTCTTGTCATCGTAGCCGTGGTGGTCATCAGACACCGACTGCAGAAGGACACAAAGAGCGGTTACCAGGCCGGCAAGAAGGAGAGCAAGGACCTGTACGCGCCCAAGCAGGGCCCCAAAAACGGCAAAGGCAAAAAGAGCAAGAAAGGAAAAGCTCCCAAACCGGCGAAGCCGCTGGAGGAGGACGAGGAGGCGAGCCTGCAGAAAGGCCTCAAGTTCAACCTCATCAACGACAACGTCAACGACAGTCCCAGAATCCACCTGCCCCTCAACTACCCGCCAGGAAGCCCCGACCTGGGCCGCCACTACCGCTCCAACTCCCCGCTGCCCTCCATCCAGCTGCAGCCGCAGTCGCCCTCCGCCTCCAAGAAGCACCAGGCCGTTCAGGACCTCCCCGCCACCAACACCTTCGTGGGAACGGGCGACAACAACTCCACGGGCTCCGACCAATATTCGGATTACAGCTACAAGGCCAACCCGCCCAAATACAGCAGCAAACAGGTAGGAGACTACGCAAACACGGCCATGTACCACAGGGACATCCATTGGACCAACGGGGTGTGGTAGTCACGCTGGGACTCCGATAACCTTCCACCAAAGCTGCACTGATTCCCCCCAGCACACTTCAGACGCCTGTTTTGTTTTTGGTTTGTTTGTGTTCACCATTTCTGTTCTGTTCAGTTTTTTTGGTTTTTGGATGCCACAATAATCACACCATAACGGGATAGACCAAATATGGGCATATTTATCGATTTGGTGACCCTGAAATGAACTCTGACGAACTGTGTGATGATTTTTGTTGCTGTTCCACATTAAAATGACAAATTATTACAGTATTTAATTATAATTTCTGGATATTACTGCACAAGCAAAGCGAGAAAACAAAAATACAAAGGTATATTTTGGATATATGAAGATCCTGGTGAGTCCCATATGGGTCTATCCTCAGCTTCTGTTTGTTTTCTTTGTGTTTCACCTTTTTCCACTGTGGGTTAAATGAAGGAGTCTCTGCTGTTTTTATTATTCACAAGTGTTTCTTTCATTGAGAGGTTCACGCTGACATCCTCATTAAGTCTGAATTCTTTTTTTTGTGGAGAGCTGACTGGAGGTTTGAAAGCTGCTCTTTATGCTCGGATCAGCTTGTTGAAGTGTGACAAAGAAGAGTGACTGTGACTTTTTTTTTTTTCTGTTTCTCGGGGTACCCATTTTTTATTGTTTCTTGGCTTTTCTCTTGGCCGGGGGACTGGACGGGGCTGAGCGGCACTTTAGAGTGTTTCCATCCAGTTCAGACCAATTTGAGGTAATTTCAGCTCGGTCAGGGAGCCAAGCCGTGAAAGGAAGAAAGAAAGAAAAAGAGAGGGAATACAAAAAGAAAGGAGGGATGGGGGAGGGAGGGCGGGTTGTAAAGAGCCAGCACACTATGAAGGAAAAGGTACACTAAGACTAAATACGACCATTTCTTAACCTCCGCACCTCCTGTCAGGTCAGCTGAAATACGACTTTTAATTTTGCCGTGTTCCCAATCAGCGGGGTTTAAAAGTCAATTGTTTGCACAGATTAATGGCAGGTAATTTTCCAGGCGCCCGCTTTCGCCTTCTTTTACCCAGAGTGCCTTGCTCTACTCTATTTAATGTACAAAAGGGGGGTGGAGGGGAGGGGGGAGGGGGGAGGGGGGGGCATTACCTGCGTGATGATGACGAGTTTTTTTGTTAATGTCACGTGCACTGTGAAACCGTGAGACAATCGTACAGACTGTATGTGAACGACTCATTTTTGTTTTCATCTGCTGTTTATGTTGCAACGTTACCGTGTGTGTCACGACGTGTGTGTTTAACAAGAGCATTTCATTGTTCTCCTCAAAGACTCACCAAAGACTCTCACACACACACACACACACACACACACACACACACACACACACGTTCACTGTCATCACCACCATGTATATGAACTTTGTTTCTCTGTGTGGTCGCTGTAGCAAGTGTTGGCGGCTCCTGCTGGTTTCAGATTCAGCCTGTCGGCGCTCGAGCCGGCGGGCGTCACGCTTCATATCCACACGACCACTTGTACAGTGTTTTTGTTTTTTACAGCTAAGAGCAAGATTTGAATTCAATAAACATGTTGCTTCAATGTGACAAAGTGGCGCTCTGTCTGTGCATTCACTGGGTGGTCAAAGTGGGCGGGGCTACAGACAGGAAGTGGGAACAGTTTTCATTTTCATCTTTCACACATGGAGAGAAAATGTATGTTTACAGCAAATGAGACATGATTAAGCCGAGCTCACTGTTGAGTTATGTTGTGATGCGTTCAAGCTCTACTCAGTAAAAATCAGTATTGAGCGAATATAAATATTAACTTTAGTTTTTAGGCAAGAAACTTGAATAAATGCAGAAATTTATATTTTTCACTGCAATATAAAATAAATATAGAGAGGGAATTATGAGATATTAAATATAGTAAAAACAACGTTCAAAGCATTTATTTTTTGAAGATGTTTTTTATGTGAAAGGTTATTTTAAAGGTTGATAAAAAAAATATGTATGATTGAATTTGCACTCATTCAAACGTTGTGTAATGAAGGTCTTACTGACTTTAAAAAATATATTTTTTGATAATTAAGATTTCTTTGTTTCCCTGGCACAAAAGGGGGAATAAATAACAACAGTAACCAAATAAACAACAACAAAAACATCAGTATTTGCATCAGAATTTCACAATCTGTGCAATCAGGGTGCATCTCAGTGACATAGGCATGTATATATAAATATATATATTTAAAAATATCTATACAGAGGTTGAATTATGACTATAATATTCAGAGTTGGAGGCAAACGGTGCACAGAAGAAGTGTGAAATAAATATCTGATGAATTAATATAATGTTCCTTTACACAGTGGATGTTTGTGAGCATCTATTTAATCAGGTCTTTATTGATCAGCGGCTCAGAATATTGAGCAGCAGAGAACTGATAAACTTCAGAATATATTACAGCTTTTGGATGGAGTATATATTCACACGTCATTTAATATATTTAGGCTCATATTGGACAGTAAATGGATGTGTGCACGCTGCTGTCCAGCACTCAGAAGTTTCTTACAAGTGTTTATTTTTCTGCAGCAACGCCGTTTTCCACTAAATGTGGAGAAAGTTTTTCAGTCACTGCTGCATGTTTACCTTCCTGATGGTTACAGAGGCGGGCTCAGGGACACGACACATGACTGTCACAGAGTGCTTGGAGGACGTTTACTGAAATAATATTACTTCACTTATAATTAAGTAAAAGTAAAGTAAGTAAAAATTCTTAAACCAAAAATCAAGATTTCAAATCAGTTTGATTTTGTTGGAGATGATTTAAAACTTCAGGGGGATATATCTGCAGAAATTAAATATAATAAGTCTGTTTTCTTTCGTGTATAATTACCTGATAATTAGAATTATTGTGTTTTTGTTGACTCAGAATGAGACGTTTATATGTACACAGGGAGCAGGTCCTCGTCTGTGGAGATCACCATGTTGCACTGCCGTGTTTCTACAGCAGCCCAGGAAAAAACACTTATTTTTTTTTAGTGTTTTTATTAGTTTTAATCAGCTGGTCTGTTTGTTTTGGAGAGGAAGAGACCTCTGTGGATAATTCAGCTCCCAGTAAAAACCTCCTGATCAATGAACACTGAAGGAATTCTAACCAGGAGAAGTTTCAGCTGGTTGCAATCTGAAATTCTAGAGGCCAATAATCTCCTAAATCTGGACTAAATAAATACATTTTCTCTTCATAACATGAACCATTTTGTCTGTCACTTTAACAGCTGCTTACCTAAACACACACACACACACACACACACACACACACACACACACACAGAGGAACAAAGCAGCAAGCAGGTGCCAAAGCTGCAGAGGTCAAAGGTCAGAAAATCACTCAGACAGTTATTAACAGCAAGGAGTGAAGAGGTCAGAGGTTACTGAGGTCACCCCCCCCCCCCCCCCCCCCCCCCCCCCCCCCTCATCATCCCCCCCCCCCCCCCCCCCCCCCCCCCCCCCCCCCCCCCCCCCCCCCCCCCCCCACCATCAACATCATCATCATCATCATCTTCATCATCATCATCATCATCATCATCCTCATCATCTTCATCATCATCAGGAGGCCACATTAACAATCTGCCAGCGTCCTTCCTGCTTTTATGCTGACCAACTTGGCTGTCTCTATGGTAACACAACGACCTGTGTGTGCGTCTGTGCGTGTGTGTGCATGTCTGTGTGTGTGTGTGTGTGTGTGTGTGTGTGTGTGTGTGGATGTGTGTGTGTGTGCTGACTCATAGTACTGACCCCCCCTCCACCTCCTCCTCCCTGCCCCCCTCTATCCAATCCAGCACAATCCCTCCTTCTATGGAGAGCTCTGCCCTTTGAATGAAGAGACGTGTGTGTGTGTGTGTGTGTGTGTGTGTGTGTATTTCAGCTCTGAGCTGTGTGTGTGTGTGTTCCCTCTCTCTGAGTTCACGGCTGCAGCAGCCTCAGTTTCATACTTCCATGTTTACAATCAGAAAGAAGTCGAAAGTGTTTCGTGTGTTTGTGTCTCAGATTCTTTAAAGTTCAGGTTTTTGGACCTGCGCAGACGTCGGTGATGTTTCATGATCTGAGCTCAGTGGATTGAATGAAACATCAACAGCAGGGCGTCAAAAAAAAAATCTCCAGTCTGACCTCTTTCTGTCGAGGATCTACTTTGTTGTATATCATTCCACCTGCCTCTCTGATCAGCGCCGCTCAGCTGTCTGCAGGGGAACAGGAGGCAGCAGCCTGTCTGCACAAACACCACCTCACCACCTCATCACTTCATCCAAATCTGCATCTTCACCCTCTGTTGGTTGACTCATAATCTGTTTCACACCATCAGCACGGCTGCACAGCGTCGGAGTGTTTGTCCAGTCTGGATATAAACCTGTGGAGCAAAAGGTTTATAGGGTGACATTAGTTCACATCAGTGATACTAAACTTATGGGCCCCCAGTATGGTGCCAGGTGGCCCCCCATCTGGGGCTGCACAGATAAAAAATAGATCGAAATATCTCCAAAATGTCACAACGTACCAGTGTGAATGACGGATTGTGATGCTGCTGAGATGCTCCAGCCTACAAGTTATATTCTAGGCTTGAGTAACAAGCTTGTTTGGTAAAAATCCCATAATCATCATTTTTATTTTTATTTTTTTCAGTGAAAATTATGAAAATTTTCCACTAAAATTGCAACTCATATCACAATATCTGTCAAAATAACAGCTATATGACTGTTTTTGCTTATCATGCAGCCCTAATCCCAACCATTCTCTGATTCACTGAGAAAATAAATTAATAAATAAATGATATAAATAAAATAAACAAATATAAAATAACTAGATAAATAAATGTAAATGAATAATAAATAAATAAATAAATGTTCTCATTCACTGCCCACCTGCATGCAGTTCATTTCTACCTGCAAATTTATTCATAAATACATATATTTTACCTGCTATTATTTGTACCTGCGGGTCCAGGACTCAGCCCCAGACAGCCCGACACAGGTAAGCACTAAATGCCGAATGTCCTCAAACCTAAGCAACACCCGTGCGTATCTGTGCAGGGCTGCTGCGACCGGCCCCTGACCCCCTGTCATTTTGCAAAAAAGTTGAGTATCCCTGGTTTCAAACTTACAGCCAAAAGTTGACCTCTGTTTATCTCAGGACACAGCCGTTACACCCTGAAAATAGGCGCTTGGAGATGCATGCACGCCACGATGGCATCGCTCTGGCGCACCTCTACATTGAAAACAATGAATCTGAGGGCGTAGACAACATGATGTGTACGCCCCCTTAAAAAGTTGTATTAAAACTGATCTCCAGTAGCACAACACTGGTTCACAGCGATGCTGATTTACCCGACAGCCTGAACTGAGCACCGCTGTGATGATGTCACAGCTACAGCAGCACAAAATCAGTGTGTGATGCATCTGTAGGTACATCAGTAGATCTGACTGGTCACCAACCGTGATGTCAGGTCAAAGATCACAAGACAAATGTTTCAGTTTCAGATGATACGTCTACATTTAGCTTTTTTTTGTTGGTAAATACTGGACATGTTTATCAGATGAAACAGCCTGAGCAGAAAAAAATCAATCTTTAGATGGCTGATCTGTAACTTAAAATCATATATGTACTCCTGGAGCTGAAGGATTAAAAACACCTTCATTATAACCACAATGATCATCAGACTTTAAGCCGTCCTAAACTCCTTCACCCTCCAGACTGGACCTGCTCATGTTCACACTCATAATGATGCGTTACAGTCCATTACATGCCAACTGATTTAAGACAGGTGTTTATAAATCAGAAACATGTGTTTCTGCAGTTTGACAGACAGATGGACTTCCTGTGTCTCTGCAATCCGGCTCGCTGTCTGAAAAAAAAAGAGAAATGGAGGAGTAATGGAGGAACCATTAGCCGGGCGGCTAACAGCCTTTTTCCTCCCCAGAAAATTACAGTCATTTTCTGCAGCGGCTAAAAATGTGGCGAGTCAGGGACAGAGTGTCTGTCATCAGGCGGACACAGCTGAGAGGAAGTACAGGTACTGAGTCTGTACTCAGACGTTACTGCAGCTGCAGGACAGGTACTGATGAGTGTGGATTTAAAGACGTCACCTGTTCACCTGTTCACCTGAGCAGATTCCTCCTCTCTGATGAGACGCTGAGTGAAGTCAGGACACAGTGAATGTTTCCACAGTGGTGGTGCTGATGCGCTGAGGACACGTGGAGGCGTCTGTCAGCAGCAGCGGTTCCTTTTGAAGAACCAGAACTTTTTCTTGAATTTTCAAGAACCTTGAACCAAACCCAGGGTCAGCAACTTTAACTATCTAAAGAGCCGTTTATGACCAAAATAATTTTTAAAAAAAATCTTAAAATTATTGTGCAGTGAAGCGACAAGAGAGGAAGAGGAGGGTGTGTTTGTCTCTTCCCACCTTCACGTCTCCTTTCCAACATGCATTCACACCTCACACAGTCGCACACACACACACACACACACACACACACACACACACACACACTTTAACCTCCTGATGCTGTTGTGATGTGTTCAGTGTTTGATTTGTGAGTTTTGTTCTCTGTCACTGAACA